TTGACGTTCTGTACGTTGTTCAGACTTATGATAATCTCTGAGTATTTCTGTTTAGGTGATATTTCAAGTGCGCACCTGTGTCTAGATTTTTTAGTGCTGGAAGAAAATTTGATACTTTATGATTTGACTTGATTTGAGAGCAAATGCGTTGCTCTTGAAGACAAGATTTTTTGTGGATACTTTTAAACTTATCGTCATTGTTCGTATAGGACTAGTGTTTTGCTTTGACAAATCATCGTTTGAACTGCTCAAATTTAACTGAAGACATCATCGAATTGAGCTTTGCTGCTTGTTGAAATGTTTATTGTGCATGTTTCATATTGATTTCTTATTCTTTGAGAACAGAAAAGCTTGTTTATTCCTCGTTCGAATACTGAAGTGCTGCTTTCTCCGAAAACCGATATTAAATGTGTTCTTTGAAGAAGCTTTCTTAATCGACTTAGATGACTTATTTCTATTTTTTTGCGCCTACGTCTGAGAAAATTACAGTGAATGTAACGTTTAGGCAAACTTAATAAGTGATGCTCATCAATTATTTATACTTCACCATGAGCTCGGAGAGTCAGGGGCTTATTTTTGAAGACCTTACTCCCATTTTTGGACTTCGCCCCTCCATGCTTCCAACCTCTTCGCGCCGCCACTGCGAGTTCAACATGTTTCAATTGGTCATCTGTTCAAATATTAATTTCCACTGTCTAGCATCAATTAGACAATCATTATTTTCATGTTCATTATCAAATAAGAATGAAAAATATTCATGTTGTGAAAATTTTTTCAAAAAGTGAGAAAACGAACTCATATTATTTTGAAAATAACACATATTGAGATTAAATTCGACAATGCATAGTTTTCTTGATCATAACGGAACGTATCATAATGACTTTCTAAAAAGGGTTTTCTTAACTTTGGTGTACAACGACATAGTTTGATTAAATCATTTAAATTTTCTACTTTAATTGATAATATTTCCATATTTGATGGTACATGGATCATATCTTTGTCTCCAGTGTTAAAATAAAAATCAAGTAATGAGCGTCACTTTAATACAGGTAAGGACCATACAAGAGGAAATAATTGTTGCATATTTTGATTTCAAGGAAATGCCAACGTGCCAAAATTCAATTTTTAAAGGAGTGGGGCGGATAAGACCATTTTTCGGCCCGGAATATTTTTTGATGAAAACCATCGGATTAGAGGTTATTCGACATGATGAACAAAATGGCGTTTACCGTTTTTCGAAATTCAGACTTTCGATTTTTTCGACCTGTGGTACCCCTCAGGAAAAGTGAAAAATTATTTTTCTCTGATCTTTTAAAAAAGACATGTAATCGATGCAGAATTTTGCGCTAATTTCGAATATCACTTTGGTGTTGAGAAAAAATGGAATTATCACGGCGAAAAATGCATTTTACTTTGGGAAGATCATTGACCATAATAATTAGAAAACACGCTACGTGCTTTGTAAAAGTGCATTGCAGAACAGGAAAAAGTGTGTCTCCTATCCAAAATTAATTGCTCTATCTAGTGCATTGCAAAAAGAAGTTTTAAAACTACTTTTTGTATCAAAAATCGTAAAACCAGGGCCAAAATCTTGAAATTTCTTTCAATTAGTTGATGTGATTTTCTTACTGTGCTCAAGGTTTGCGCTGTGATATCGATGAAATTGTATTTGATGGTATTTGATCAGTTTGAGTTGACATATTTGATGTATGTTTTTGAATAGTAGTGACGATAGAATTTAAATTATTAACTGATGTGGCTGACTCAAAATCCATTACTTCAGATTGAATTGTTGCCGATGAATTTCTCTTCATTTTATTATGTCTGATATAGCAACTTGCACAAATAACTATATCATCTGGAAGATATTTTTGGTATAAAATGTGATATAAATGGTTTATTTGCCTAAACAAATCTGGACAATTTCTTAATGTATGCTGTCTTTCATTTCTCAATTTTGCATTACACAGCCCACAAGAAATATCGGTATATGGCATTATATGTTAGATTTTAATATATCTATAACCGAAGAAAACGTTTAATATTTCATAAATTAAAAATTCTAACTAAGAAAGCGTTAGATGGAAAAATAACAAAGAGGAACGAGCAGCAAAAGCCAAGAGCTTTTATAGTTAAGGTAACCATCAGTATTTTTTATGAATTTGTTCAAATGCTCATTTTTCTTACACCTTCCGTATTTATAAACAAAAAATTATACTAAACTTATTCAAGAATTTAATGTTTAAATACAATTAATTAAATACAATATTTAATACAATTTATATTCGTGAAAAATCTACTTGTTGTCCAAAACATATAGAAAATGGTCAACTCAAACGATCGGCAATTGATAATTTGAAAGAAGATGCATCAAAATCATCGAAAGATGCTTCTATTCAAGATTTATATGGCCTTTGGCAAGAAATGCAAATAGAATTAAGAAGATATCATGAAATGATGTCAAATAGTCCTCGACCACCATTAGATTTTAATTCACCATTTCGATATACAGATGATGATTATTTTTGTTTAACTGGTCTAAATAAGTATCAATTCGATATGATACGAAAAAATTAAATACACCATCAAACAGTTATATTAATCACTTTCAAGATGCAAATGAAGTATCAGATTTGAGTTCGACAGATGACGATAACGACGACAGTGATGTTTTATATACTTTAACATGAGTTCTATTTGGTAGGAAATATAGCTCCACGAATGTCCGCCATATTTTGTATGTGATTAGAAAACAAGACCAAACAATATCTGTTTCTTTTCTTCATCTTTTGTTTGTTGATTTTTAAAAAAAGATCCTCGTTTTATACTTTTTAAACTAGTTCCATTCGAAGAACATAAAAAGTTATCTATATTCTATGACTATAACATTGTAACCTTATTTCAATCAAAAAACATAGGAAAATCACTTCAAAAAATCGAAAAAATTTGGATTTTACCCCCCAAATCCTTGATTTTACCAAAAGTCCTCATTTTATATTTTTTAAACTAGTTCCATTCGAAAGAACATAAAAAGTTGTCTATATTCTATAAATATAACATTGTAACCTCATTTCGTTTGAGCACAGTAAGAAAATCACATCAACTAATTGAAAGAAA